TTATATTAGTATGTCTTTTATTTGAAACTTTTTTATATGTAAATAAAATACATACATTATCTTATCCATTTGCTAATCAATGCAATTTAATTTGTCAGCCTTTTTGATTATAATGCTTTTGTCAAATAAAATTGTATTATGCTTTAGACCCTTCCTCTTCTTATTCGCTCTCTTTCTGCATATTTTTTATATAGAAAATTTCATTTACATTCTGAGCAAGTTATAGAAATGCTTAGAAATGTGTTCATTTATAACATTTGCTTAAGATATCACTTTCAATTTAGCTGCATATGCAAATCGTCTACAATATTTCAGTCATTCCTTTATGCAGCTATTTTGCTTTTGTTCGTTGCCCAACACTATGCAAGCTGCTGCTTGTTCTCCTGCCTCCCCTTCGCACTCTGCTATTGCTATTGTAAGAATCTCAGACCAGATTACAATGGCAACATCTTCTTGCCTCGCTTGCTCAACTCGTTTACACCCAAAAAAAAAAAAACAAACAAAAAAATTAGAAAAAAAGCTCAGCTCTCATGACACACATACCAGTAGACAGCACGCCCTCTACTACTACTGCTGGTGCTGGTGCTGCTGCTGCCGCTGCCGCTGCTGTGGCCCACAAAATTTATTATCATGTAAAACTTTTGTGCAACAATGCGACAAACACAAAAGCCGAGCGAGCTCGCGGCTACTGTGCCAGCTGCGAAGCCAACTGATAGGCGGCGCCCCCTGCCTCAGCTCCCTGCGACAGCAATTTGTTCTAGTTGATAATTTATTTGAATATTTGGCTTAATTATAAAAACAAAAAATATATAGAAGAAAAATGTTGCAACAAAAGCTCTGGTACATTTTATGCAATGTATTTGTGAATTATTTTATGGAATGTATCTGTGAGATACAAAACTGGTCAAGTAAAGTGCTGGGCGTTTAAGTCCGCCAAGTGGCTGGCATTGAGCTCGTAATAATCACAGACAATAGCTCGAGTTGCAGGTAAAAGAAATTTATGGCAATGATATAACGAATATTTGATGCTCTATAAAAAATATATATGATTATATATATGATRTAATATTAATATAAACAGCAGGCTATATTTGATTGAAGTAAAATTGATAGATATATATATATAGGTATAATATAATTATTTGAATTTTAATTTGATAGAATATTGAAATATTTATTAGAGTAAGATGGAGATAGGTAAAGTATTTAAATACAATTTAAAGCTTAGCTGCATGAGTGATGAGAAAATTTTATGAGTTAGAAACCCGTCGAAATCATACGGAAACTCGATATTGAAACGAATAAATAGAAATATATTTCAATATAGTAGATAGGGAGTAAAATTAGAATAATTATATATATTAATTATATAATTTATACTTCTTAGATACTTTTACTCCATTTATCTATATACCTATATAATATCTTATACTCTGTAAGAATCCGTTTGCAGCTCAAAGCTTTGCGCTTTTTCATGAATTCATATCTTGATTCATATGAATAGTTGAATACCCTCTTTGCAAGAGTATGCTATATGATTGTCGCTAATTAGCCCCCTTCTTGCATGACTAGACAAGCAGAACAAGCGGCTACAGATGCCCAAGACAGAGCCCCGTCGCGGCATTCTCTAACTTCCAACAATCGAGTCGAAAAAGACAAATGATATGCTTAGCATTGAACGCTGACTCAACTAATTTGACTAGGTCTGCCGTCGAGCTAGAGTGAGAGAGAGAGAGAGATTTGTGGCAAGCATTTAAATGCGAGCTGACGACCACTTAAAGTCGATTAACTGAGAGTCTCGTCCGGACAGCAGACCTTCCAAGTGATCCCGAAGTCATCCCCTTGCGCCCCGCTTACTCCCCTAGCCTAAGTCGTCTTGATTATAATTTCTAGTTCTATAATTTTTGTACATGGCATCTGTGGCAACCTGGGCAAGATTCACGCCGCAAGCGATTCAAATCAAAACGTGCATAAAAATTTCTATGCTTTGTGTGCGCCACGCCCTCTGGCTGCCCCTCCATGGGCAGCGCTTGTGTATCAAACAGTAGCGGCATATTCATTAATCAAAGAGCAGCAGTCCATTCGGGTTTTGCGTACTCCCAGGGGGCCAGCTACGTATTAGTTACACTTTAGCAGGGGGCGGATGGGGGGTACGATGACGCTGACGACTGGAACTTGAAGATCGGAACTTATGGCTGACGCGCTATTACGAGTACTTGGACAGCGTTCAAGAGAAGTTGAGCTGATCTGAGCTTGGGTTGGGTTTGGTCTGTTGGGTTGGGTCAAGGTATAAATGCCAAGCTGAGCTCATCCGAACGAGCAAGCGATGCGTCTTCTTCTTAAGTGCTGTTCGCTAGGCGTGGCTGACAGCCAGACGCCAAGGTCAAGGATTTATTTTGAGACAACACGCGTTACCGAATCATGCATGAATCAGTGCACTTCTCATGTGTTTGCTAATCAAAAGCGCTTATCCATATCCTTCCTTGGCAAATAGCTAAATAAATTCATGCAAATTTTATTTATTTAATAAACAAGACAAATGTGGAGGGGTAAACGTACGCCAACAAGGACAACGACAGCAACGATGATGAGACGATGACAAAAGTGTAGACAGAGCTAAAAGAGCGTTGGGTGAGGAAGCTATACAATGTTTATTGGCAATTCGTTGTAACAACTGTTGATAACTGGAGAGTATAGCTATGCATAGCTATGCCTGTTAATGGATACTAACGAGTCGTCTGTTCAGTGTACATTGTCATCAACAGCTACATCAGCTCACATTGAGCGTCGAGTGCCAGCTGCGGCCTGTTCATGTGTTGGCTAATGGCAATTGAGCGAGACTCGCCGCGAACTTAAACTTAATAATAATACAATAATCTATGGGCTAGTCGTAAAGGAATACAAGTATTACACTGTGAATGTATAAATAACTAAAGGCTACACGTGGAAGGGGACGCTTAGGAGTGGAGTAAACACAAACAGCTGAAGAGCACTTCAAGAAAAATATATAAGTACATACATAAAATTTTAAGTATGTGTACAATTACTTAAGATATTACTGATTGCGGGAAATGATGGAGTGTAAAAAAATATATAAAAAAAATTTTAATTTATTAAATCAGAAATTTTTAC